TTACACAGTCCTTCGCATGATGCGCATATTGGGGAACAATGGAGTCCCGCCTTCCTGCATCCACAATTGCGTTGACAGCCCTTTTTACATTTACATGAAATTTACCAGAGTATTGAGTTTGGTGCAGGGTCCAAAGTAGTTGGTACTAGGCACAAGACTATTACTAGTTTTTTGCCATCCCCACTCATTTGGGTCTTTTTGTTTCTCATTAGGTGTGGCTTGACCGGATAACCACTGCTGCACCTGATAATAAACTCTCCGTGAATGTTCTCGTGCAGCAGCTTCAGTTGGGGGCAATGAGCAAATGTTGGTCTTATTTTTGAATAATGAAGATACGTATTGTTTATATCTTCAATCGTTTAGTTTTGTCTCTTTTTTTCCATATAGAGCCGTGAGAAACATGTTTCCTGCTGTGGCAATCTCATCTTGACTTAAATTAAGGTCTTTGAATGCTTCAATTACCGACTGCAAGGACTTTAAGAAATTTCAGTTTCCCTTGATTAAACAATGCAGAAGTAGTATCACATGCGCTACACGTACACACATACTACAATGTCTACAACAGTTTAGCACATTGTTGCCGTGTGGAATGTAAAGCGGCTTTAACTGCTTGTTAACTGAGTTATTTTGATTTTTTTGCAATATAGCTATAATATTTGAGTCAAAACGTAAATTATCTGTGTGACTCGGTCTTTATTTTAATTAACTAAAATACTGGAGGAAATTAACTGAAAACCTTTTAATACAAATCTATAAAGTGGGTTTTGCAGTCACAACCGGTACAAATTGCCAATTTTCAACTTGCACTTGAGTCTGTACAATAACCAAAATAGTGACATTTGTACAGAACTTTAAGTCCTTTAATTTCTGTCAACAGACCATTTACTAAAAGTTAACAGTTTTTCGAGTTTTAAGCAAAAACCGGAAAACAGCAGAAAAAACCGATTTCTTCTGGTTTTTTAAATGTTGCGTCACGAAATTTTGTCCGCAAACCTCAGATTCAAATTTAGCACCCCAAAACGCATATGAAATGAAAAAATCAGAACTTCCCCAAAACTTTCCTACTAGTCTCAGTTTACAGTACAAATTTACTGAATTATTATTTAAAACAGCAAGTCCCATCTTTACACAGGTATACCTTTTTAAACTAGAAGTTGTTTTATTGTTTGTTCAGAGATGATTAATTCTACTTGCTTTTTTAGGATTCATTAGGTTCGGGGTTTTTATGGAAGAGCAGAAATATGATTCGTTTCGTTAATGGGCAATAAAGGGATACCTTTAAAGGAAAATTAGTTTTATTTGCGGATTTCAACCGAAAAGCTTTGGTTGTTTTGATAACAAAACAACATAAATGTGCGGCCAACCGAAAAAATATTTAAAATTGAAAAAGAACCAAACGTGCTTCGTTAACATGCCGCTGGTTTTAACAGCCAAACAGGAAACAGACGTGATGGACATTTTGAGAAAAAAAATGTTTTATGTTTTGTATTAACAGTTGCGCTTACTATGTTGATAAGGTTATGTTTCGCTATAATTTTTTATCTATTTCTTTTTCTTTTGTCTATTAACTTTTTAGAGAGTATAGACAGTATACAGCAGGGGTGCTCAAACGGTCTATCGCGATCGACTGGTCGATCGCGAGTGCTTTTTGGGTAGATCTCGAGAAGAAAAAAAAATTTTAATAAGTAGGTAGGTAACTAAACTACTGTCAGTAGAGTTTAAACGTTTTTATATAATACTGAACTATACAAATACATAGAATGCTTGACTAAGCATCATTGCAATTCAAAGAAGTGGGGACAACAAAATACTGTCCACACAGCATATTTTATATTTACATATATTAACTAATTATTTTATTAATTCAATATTTATTATAATTATTAATCAAATTTGGGATGATATTCTATCAACTACAAAAATGTATTACGTAATAAAATAACACTGCTTGCGGCAAAAGGTGGCTTTATCAAAGGAACGCGCGGCACTTGTCAAAGAAAAGCCGTGTTGTTTCTAGACGAGAGACAGTACAGTCTAGTTTCAGGCGGCGCGTTTGACGAGAACATTCAAGACTTTCGTTCACGCCGATATGAATGTTGCGCATGCATGGATATGGAGTTATTCAGAACTGTAACTTGATAGCGATCCTACGTCGATACAAAGTTTATTATTAAATAGTGGAAAATGAGTGCAGTGAAGAAATCTTCACTGCAAGAATCATTTTAATAAGAATTGGGAGGAAGAATTTTTCTTTTCTATGGTGAAGGATAAGTGCATTTGTGTTATTTGTCGTGCGTCAGTTGCAATACCTAAGCGTGGTAACTTAGAGAGGCATCATAAAACGGTTCATAAAAACTATGAAAAGGATTTTCCGGCAAAGAGTGAATTAAGAAAACGAAAAGTAAGTGATTTGATATCTTGTTTGAAAAAAGAACAATCCATGTTCACAAGACCAGCCAAACAATCAAAGCTGCTACGATCGCGTCATTTAAAATATCTCATATTTTTGGCGAAACACAAGAAACCATTTGAAGATGGATCGGTGGTGAAGGAAGCATTTATTGAAGCGGGTGAGACTTTATTTGGAGATTTTAAAAATAAAACAGAAATCATGTCTGCTATAAGAGAACTTCAGTTATCTCGTCCGACTGTCACAAGGCGTATTGAAGTCATGAGTCAAGACATCGCAGATAAACTAGAACATGATATCATGGAATGTCCATACTTTTCTTTACAGTTCGACGAATCCATCGATATGACAGACACTGCCCAGCTGTGTATTTTTATGCGGATGGTATTCAATGACATGGCTAAGGAAGAATTTTTGACAATCATTCCTCTGAAGGGGAAGACCCGTGGCGAAGATATATATGATGTTTTCTTAAATTTTGTAAAAAAACTACGAGCTACCAATATATAAATTAATGTGCATTACACCCGATGGAGCACCAGCAGTGACTGGAAACAAAAACGGTTTTGTGGCATTGTGTCGAGCTAATGAAGAATTCCCTTCATTTTTTTTTTCATTCCATTGCATTATACATCAACAAGTTTTGTGTTCAAAAGTTTTAAACACGGAGGAAATTATGGGCATTGCAACAAAAATTGTGAATTCCATCCGTGCACGTAGCTTGGAATGGCGGCTCTTTCAGTTGCAGTTGGAAGATAGGGAGTCAGCTGAACACACTGATTTAGTTCTTCACACGGACACGTCAGGTGGTTGAGTCGCGGAAAATTCCTAGAAAGGTTTTAAGAATTATTGTCCGAAATAACAGTTTTTCTAGACGAAAGAGGTGATGACACTCAGATTTGAAAAACGAAAAATGGCTAAATGATTTGGCATTTTTGACTGACATCACAATGCACTTAAACACCGTTAACTTGTAGCTTCAAGGTAAAGGAAAAACTAGTATTGAGATGATTAGCGCAGTAAACGCATTCAAAAGTAAATTGCAACTTATGATAGATCAACTGAAAAGAAAGGATCTGAAACATTTTCCGTCTTTGAAAGCAAGGATTCCTCAGTTGAATTATTATACGTATGAGGCTGAATTATCAAATATTTTGGGACAATTCGAAATGCGTTTTTATGATTGCAGTAAATTGGAAAATATAGCATCATTTATGAGTTATCCTTTTTCATGTAAAAACATTGAGGAATTAGCTACTGAAATAGCAAGTCTAAGTTATAAGCTGCTCTAAGTTATAAGACGTTTCCATTTCATTCTTTGAAAAGTTTCACTATTTATGTTCAGAGTGTCTCTTGAGAGTATCAGAAAAGACCAAGAACAGGAACAATTGTTTTTGTATTACCAGAGGTCTCCCACCTTCTTAAGTCCATCTTAGCTTTCTCCATAAGGGCCGTTGTTTCTGATACAAACAGTCTCAACTCATTTTCATCAGTAACACTGGTCATACAATTATCCACATAAAACCCAGTCATAAGCTTTTCAATTGTGTTTTTAAAATACGGATTATCATAACAACATTTCTCCAGCGCCTTTGATAAATGGAAATCTGTAGTAGCACCCAAAAGAAATGGACTACAATTTACCCCAAAAACAACCCCCTTGTGTCGAAATTCAAATTCCTTTCCTTCATCGTTCACCCATAGGATCCTCGGAAAATCTCTGTCCCTTGAATGTATAGAAACTTGAAGAAAAGCCTTTTGAATATCCGACACAACCTTTTGTTGTCTGAATCGTAATAAAGCCGAAGGAATAAGTTTTATAAGCTTAGGCCCTACCTTCAAACACTGATTTAAAGAAGGACGACCCTGTTCATGAGATAATGCGTCAAAGACTGGCCTAATTTTTGTGGTTTCACTATTATTTTTAATATAGTTCTGAAGCTATTGTCTTGTGGCATTTTAAATTAATTACTATTTAACTAGGAATAAGTCACAATTTAAATAGGATAAAGAAGGCACAAAGAGCGATGGAGAGACAAATGTTGGGTGTATCACTTAGAGATAGAAAACGTAACCAGTGAATCAAAACCAGGACAAAGACAGTAGACGCGATAGAACAAGCAGCAAAACTGAAATGGGAAATGGGCTGGACACAATGAACGTCTCCAAGACGAACGATGGAACAATGCCATCGGAAAGTGGCGTCCATACAATGCAAAGAGATCAAGAGGCAGACCACAGATGAGGTGGAAAGATGACATCAGGAAACAAGGAGGTCCCACATGGCAGAGGACAGCTCAAGATAGGGAAAGATGGAGAGAACTATATCCAACAATGGAAGGATAGAGAATAGGTAAAAAAAAAAAGGTTAAAATTCGTTTCAATTTCCACTTCGTAAATCAAAATTAATATTTTCGGCAAAGTTCAGCATGTTCGTATGATTTTCAGGCGTCAAATCTCTGACAACTGGTTTACGTCTCTTGTACGCATTACTGTCTCCTAGATTGAGCTTTATTTTTGAAGCAATTGAAATAAACATGATAACTTAAAAAAAGGTTATGTATCTTATACAGTACTCTTTCTATTTTAGGTCCAGTGGAATCCTCCAGCGGCAATTATAATAACGTTAGATTTCTTTTTAAATTCTTTACATGTAAGTATATTTTTTTAATTAATAATAATATATCTTTATATTAGTCCAGGATTTGACTATAAAAATAGTAGAAAACTTCAACAAAATATCTATCGATTCGCATAAAAATATGTCATCATCAATCAGCCAATCGCGTCCACTGCTGGACATAGGCCTCCCTCAGTTCTTTCCAGTGTTCTCTACACTGGGACGCTTGTAGCCAGCATAAAAATGTGTGGGTAAGCTTAATACACCTTTTTTATTCCACTTCAAAATCTGCCCTATTCCAATATGTGCTAATTATTTTTTAGGTTGAAAACTACCCCTTATTATCCAAAAGCTAAAAGTAAATCTTGTTGTCTTCAATTCAAGAGCCGAATCTAATAATTCCGGATTTTCTAGATCCAATGTTAAATTCTATGTCGTTATGTTTGCTTCTAATTCTACAAGATTTGGCTGATCAGTAATAATAAGATGGCGCTAAGTCACTATCTTGAAATATACCAGCATTCAAAGGCTAAATACCAGAAGATTTAATATAGCAATAATACCTTGGTAATTCCCATATTAATTATATAGCATTGAAAATGCATTAGTATGGTAGCAGACGTAATACTTTATTGCCATATTGTTTTGCTAAATCATCAGCAATGTATTTTGGAGGTGGCTTGGTTATAAAAATAAATATTGATAATCTGAACTAAAATTCCATTAGGCACTTACTGCGCAATAAACGAAAAGCTCGTTTTTCAACATTTTCTCATTAAAAGGTAATTTATTGTTAGTCATCCAATCTTTACCTAGTACCAACAGGGGGGAAATAAAATTGAAAAAGAGATGACAGTTGTAGAAGAACAGCATGGCTTTCGTGTAGGCAGATCATGTATGGACAGTATATTCTCTCTAAAGCAAGTTATCGAGAAAAGATTAGCCCACAACCTTTCAACTCATATAGTCTTTATAGATCTGACAAAGTGATGAAAGTGTAATAGTGTACCGCTTTCAATGCTTTGGGTAGCAATGGAAAAACAAGGAATAAGCAAAAAATATATACAAGCAGTACAACAGCTCTACAAAAATATGACGGCAAACATTAAAACTGGAAATAGATTAACTAGAGAAATTCCTATTAGTAAGAGCCTAAAACAAGGCTGCTACATAGCACCTACACTCTTCAAAATATATCTAAATGAGGCACTCTCACTATGGAGAAGAAAGTGCTGCAATATAGGCATCCCAATCGGAGATGATAGATTGTTCACGATACACTTTGCTGACGACTCAGCCATTCTAGCGGAAGACAAGAGTGATGTAGGCTACATGCTTAGAAAACTGGAAGATAAGTACACCAAATGGGGCCTCACAATTAATATACAAAAAACTGAGTACTTAGTTGTAGGAGAAAAACCAGAAAGCCTACCAATCGAAATGGGAACTATAAAACCAACAGACAATTTTAAATACTTGGAAGTCCAAAGAACATCAAAAGCAGGAAGTAGCGAAGAAATACATTCTAGGATTGGCCAAGCAAGATCAGCCACCAGACAGCTACACGGACTATTATGGAATAAAAAATAACAAAAGAAAAATTTATAAAATAATAATAGAAAGTATTGGGCTGTTCGGCGCCAAACTCTGGGAAATAAACCAAAGAAACCAATCAAAAATAAAGGCCATGGAAATAAAGTACTGGAGACGATGTTGCCAGCTCGCTAGACTTGATAGGGTGAGAAACGAAGATATTCGGAGAGAAATGGAAATCGATCTAGATATAATAGACACAATCGAAGCCAAAAGACAACTGGTATGGACACCTTCAGAGAATGCCAGAAAATAGATGGCCAAAAAAATAGAAGAATGGACTCCGCCAACTAGAAGAAAACGAGGTAGACCAAGACGATCCTGGAGAGACGATGCAATGACCGCCAGAAATCTAACAACTGAAGATTGCTTCGACAGTAAACGCTGGAAATTAGGATGCGAGAAGCGGAGCCAGCTGTAGAAGACTCGCTTGTCATCATATTTGAGTCTCCGTAGGCTTAATACAATTTGAAATTGTATCGTGTCGTCCAAATGCCATTTTCGCATACACCCCCGTATTTCTATGCAATAAATAGAGTCCATTATGTAAATTGAGGTTAATTGAATATCCAAGTTGTGGTTTGGTCTGCTAATCAAGCTATTACATTTCCATGTTGGTAATTTGATTTTTTTTTGTATTATTTTAAAATAAGAATGACGTAGGGGAATGGTAGGAATACTGAGATGCAAAACTTTCAATGACAATAACTTTTTTATTAAATGCTACTTTAAACATCTTTGTTTATATATCAAATATTGTACCTATATATTTGGTCAAGGTTAAGTTAACACCTCAAAAATATTAAAACTAAAAATTACTGAATGTCTCACTGTTCCTTTCAATGTGTGAACACTGAGACGCAACAATTAACATTATTTCACGTTAAGACTGTCAAAGTTTAATTCAAATTTACCACTTGCATTACAGGGGGTGGCAAAATCATTTTAATGTCTCTTTTTAATACATGTAAGACATCTGGGACAACTGGAAAAAAGATTATGTTTTCACATTTAATGCTTTTTCTTAAAAACGATATTTTAAAATCATTTTCTTTTATTTAAGGCAAGACTTTGCCTACATAGTATGCCTTTTGCTTAGAGTTAAATTCACAAGCACATACTTCCCATTATTAGGACAGCGGTCAAGATCTCCGAAACTAATTGGTTCGGGATCTTCACCAATAAAATCCTCTCCTCCGCTGGAATCTTGTAATTCCATCTCATTTTCAAACTGCTCATCAGAATCACAGAATCTAATACGCACCTAGTTTTTCGTTTTGGTGTTTTTTCTGTAGATTTAACCCAATAATCGCCAAGCAAACTTCAACTGGAACAAGTCGCCTGTCTGTCACTACTAGACAAGCTCTACCGAGTTTGCCATGTTCCGACTGTCTCACTATTATACCTACCTCTCCCTAATTTCGAATATTTTTTTCTTTTTTTATCTCATTAATGTATGTTATGATAATCAGGATGTTATTTTTTTTGCTTATTATAAAAAAAGTGGCCGTGTAATTTAATTTTCTATGTTATGAATTTAACGATTATATTTTATCTCGTTACGATATTTTATATCCAAGAACAATTTAATAAAATTGAAAAAGCTGTATGCATAAAAAATGTAATAATATACAATACACACGCTGTGAGATTAAATTTCCTTGTTTTCCCAAAGGTGGGAAAATTTTTCGTGAGGGACTACACGATCCACTTTAGTGCCTTACACACTTTTATAAATTTAAATTAAACAAAAATATGAGATCAAACATATTGTAATGTTTTTATTAGCTTTTTATTGTTCTGAAGCTATTCTCTTGTGGCATTTTACTATTTAAATGGGAATAAGCCACAATTAAATACAATACAATAAAATATGTTTATTGACGTTTCAATTTTCACTTCGGAAATCGTTCTCAAAATACAAACATTAGTAAATTAAACAAATTTTGTTTTTTTGTACTTCGTTAAAAAAAACGGGTATGGCAGTCCAGTGGAACTACTGGTAGAAGTTATTCTTCTGAACACGCGTTCGTCGTTACAAATGTATATGAGAGTCAATCTGCAAAATCATTACATATTATTATGTAATGCTATAGGTAAGAAAGAGCAGGAAGAGAAACAGAATTAGGTATATAGGTATATGGTGCATCGTTCGATGTATATCAACATTTGACCTGTAATAGGAGTATAGTAGATGAGGGATTAAATCAATATTTTGATGAAAATGTATATTTTTAATTTCATATATGTGTGAAAGGAGTTGAATACAAAAAAAAATTTTACACATAGGGGAGAGTGTTTTTTTTTAGAAAAATTAGATTTTTGTATAATTTGTTTGTAATATCGCAAATATTAGACATTACTTGTCATTATAGCAGCGATTGGTTTGAATTACCTAATAATATTACCTATCTTTTATTATTTTTTTATTACCATGTCATTTGTTTCAGTGTGCCCCAAATATGGGGCACACTGAAAATATAGAGGATACATCATTAATGTTTTTTAAATAACGAAACATATAAAATCAGAATTTTGGTGTTTGTTGAAGGTAAACTAAATGCACTAACAAATACTTACCATGTCGGGATAGTATTATGAGGTTTTTTTTTCCTGGTTTTTCCTCATAATTTACTATGGAATCACTAACAGGAAAATTTTACTGTCATCATGTCATGTGTTTGTCTTTTTAAGGACGAATTACATGCTATGATTTTTTTCTGACGGATATTCTCAAGTTAAAGTTGATTTCATGTAATCGAATGTACTATCTTATAAGTAAAGTCGTCCCAGGAGCGCAACTCAACAATATTGCCAATATCATTTTAAAGTCGTCTGCTTTAAAATGCATAATGTATGTCTGACTTGTCAATATAAATGAGTCAGATAAAATTAAATTATTAGAAGAATCTTTCACTATGTAACAAAAAACAAAATTTGTTTAATTTACTGTTTGTATTTTGAGAACGATTTCCGAAGTGGAAATTGAAACGTCAATAAACGTATTTTTATCTTTAATTGTGGCTTATTCCCAGTTATATAGTAATTAATTTAAAATGCCACAAGAAAATAGCTTTAGAACAATATGCATTAAAGTAGTCATGCTTTTTTGTAAGATCTTATGTCCATCAGTTCTAGGATTTCTTCTGTCATCCATGTGTTCTTTGTTTTTCTGATGTTGTCTTGTAGTTGTTCGCTTTGTATAGTTGTGATTGTTGTTTTGAAGGTGTGCCAAATATGTACTTTCTATTGTTTCTTCTGCTTCCGCTGGTGCTTCACTGAACTTTTCTTTGAGTGTATCATTGAGTGTTTTCTCTATTTCTGCCCCAGTACTATTGGATCTTTAAGTTTTTCGAGACTAGATTTTATCTTCTCTTTTAAGGTTTTATCTTCTAGGTTTTTATCTTCTAGGTTTTATCTTATCTTTTAAGATGAAGATAGGCTATAAAAACTGGTCCACAGATTTAACATAAGAAATAAGCGAAAGAATTTAATATGACAATCTCATCTCAGAAAACTAAAACAATAGTAGTCAGCAAAGAACTAACCAGATGTGAAATAGAAATTGATGGCATCAGTATTGAACAAGTAATGGAAATAAAATACCTGGGCATTACACTGTCTTGCTATGAAGACCTGGACAAAGAAGTGAGATATCAGGTACAAAAAGCAAATAGACTGGACAGGATGCCGACTACTATATGGCAAAACAAACTCATTAACAGTGAAGTGAAGAATTTATAAAACCAGTGTAAGACCAATAATGACATATGCCTCAGAAGCAAGACCCGATACATCCACAACGCAAAGACTACTGGAAACGGCATAGATAAGAGTTCTGAGAAGAATTGCAGGAAATACGCTGAGAGATCTAAAGAGAAGTGAAGACATTAGAAGAAAATGTGACGCACAGTGTATAAATGAATGGAAAAAATAGAAAAAAAGAATGGAGCAACATAAGCACAATGGAGGAGACCCGTGTCGTCAAAATGTCAAGAGATAATTCACCAATCGGTAAAAGAAGCATCGGACGACCACGCAAAATATGGGGTGGTAATAGATTTATGTGTCAAATGAATAAGCATAATTGCTTATTAAGAGGAAGAAGAATTAATGTTTTTAGAACTGGCAATTCAAAATCGAAAGTAGTATCGTTAGAAATATTAATAAATAATCTTTAAAATCATATATCACACGCCACTCGTTTCTATTTAAGATTTCAGGAATGGAGGCTAATTTATTGCAACTTTGAAAACATAATAACTTTATTATTTTTTCTTATCCTATTTTTATTTACTTACAGATTTATAGTCTTCTCTGTGTGATATCTCAGTACCAAGAACTTAAAGCCGGTAGAGGTAGAGCCTTAGACGATCAGATATACAGGGTAAGTATTGCGTTAACTTAAGAATCTGCATGAAAACCATAATTTTCTCGTAGTTGAACTTTATTATCATCGTAATAGTAGTTAGTAAGTAACTACATTAAGTAGTTAGTAAGAAGAACAAAAAATGAACACTGGGAACAGTTTACAAAAAGGATGGAAAACGACTTCTATGGTACACAAAAACAAATATGGAGATTCAAAAGAAACCAACGGAAAGAAATGGCAAAATTGAAGGAATACAATAACATACCAGCAAACCAATGGGAAAGACTGTTTAAAGGAAAGGAAAATAATAATAAACACAATAACGTACCTGAATTAAGACACGAAGTAGAAATCAGTTTTCAGGAAGTAAAAATAGTAAAGTAAAAAAAAAGTAAAAAAAAAAGTAAAAATTAGAAAACATAAGAAGAGCATGCAATATAGAAGACATAAATGGATGGGTGACATATATAAAACAGGAGTGGAACGAACACATTAGTATAATGGCAGAGGAAAGGATAATACGAATACCACAAGATAAGTCACCATTGGACGATGAAGTATTGGCAGACCAAGAATAAGATGTTAGATGGTGCAATAATTTAAACAATTAAACAACAAAATAAAAGAAACAGGCTTCAAAGCCTACATGAGTGTAGGCATTTCTTTGAGTGTTTCAGCTGTTATTTCATCTTCTCCTTCTGCTTTTCTGGATTTTAGCTTTATAATTGCCACCTCAACTTATGATTTCAATATTTGAGGTTCTTTTTCATAACTTATTTTCTCTGTATTATTGCCTCGGTCGTTGTTAGAAAATAGTGTTTCGCAATATTATTTCCACACCTCTGCGAGGCCGTCTGGGTTTTTTATGATATTTCCACTATTATCTTTAATGATCTATGTTTGCGATTTGAATTCTCTCGCTAGCTACTTGACTTTTGAGAAAAGTTCTCTAGGTTCTTGACGGTCAGCATGTTCCTCTAGTTGTACACATATGTTTTTAATATAATTATTTTTGCCCCTTCTGCACAGGTGTTTTATAGTTGTATTTATGGTAAGAAGGGTAAGAATATCAAAGTATTAAGATATTTTAGTCCAGGTGGATCCCTGACGTAATTCGCCCTTTGTGATATACCACCACTCTAGTCATTGACGGGGAATCACATAAACATTTAGAGAAAGACAAACTAGAAACCAAAAATCGCCCGATGGGCGACGCCAATACATACTTTAGCCCAGGTAGATCCCCGACGTAATTCGCAGTTCATGAAATTTCATCACTCTAGTTTCCGACGGGAAATCACATAAACAGAATTTAGTGATTCCACGAATAGTATGATTTCCAAGTAGATGATATAATATGCGCAATTTTGGAAAGTTTATTAAATAAAACTGATTTTTTAAAATATTCTTACAAATATTAAGAATTCCCTAGATTTTTCATAGAATTGAATAAAAATCTCTTTTTCACTAAGCTGGCTCAAAATTCCCTAGGTATAGGGAAAATTCCCTAGATCTGGTAACGCTGCGTATTTACTTAAATGTTTATGTTTTTTAGGTACCAAATGTGCATTATAGTTCGCAACCGACTGCAACGAGCTACTTGAGTTCAAGGAAGCAAGTAACGTATTACGAAACAAAGCCAACTCCTACGCAAAGTCCAACAGGAGCAGGTACGTTAACAGGACATTGTATTTTCCAAAAATTGTTCTAGGTCCACAAACTATTTACACTTATTTTTGCAGGCCTATACATTTTCTTATATCAGTTATTTTATACAAAGTTTAACAAAAGTGGTTAGGATGAGAAAGATTCGGAAAATTGGAAAGATGTTAATGATTACATAGTTTATTTTAATACTTCAACTTTGAAAAAATTTAGACCTAGAATATTTTAATATTTTTAAGAGATACGGTAACAAACTGACAGTACAACTGGCGAGAAGGGCGCTGATCACGAATCTTTTACGAATCACGAATTTTTTATAAAAACTGCCAAAAATACTGGGAAAATATTTACTGAAACTATATTTAATAAAAAATTACACTGCAAAATTGAGTTGTTCATAAAAAAACAATGCAGTATAATCTAAGTTAGACAATCGTTGGATTTTTGAATAAAATCGTTCTCTTTTTCCGTGAAAACTGTGTTTTGTAATTTTATTTTTGAGGATTCCCTAAAAATATGGATAGCTCCATATTTTTAGGGAAAATAGTCACCGTAGGAATCCAGAAAGTGAAGTTTGATGCTCATATTGCATCCCAGTTTTTTATCATTTTCGACCATATTGGCTATAATTTATTTGTAGTTTGGGACTTGTTGTTTCCGAGGAAACCATCTATGCTTCATGCTTCAGATTCATCCTGGATCATTGTATCCTGGAACAATCTGTCCAACTTTAAGGTTCGAATTTGAGGGCCTACAAAAATTCCTTCTTTAAATTAAGCTTCAGAAAGTGCAGGAATTTCTCGTACGTATATTTAAAGCAGTTGTTGCACTTTTTTATTAAAACCATTGACAAAATGCTTTATCAATCCTAACTTTTGGATCAACTAATCCATCACGCTGCACATTTTTTGTCCCGGTACAAGTCTTTCTCTGAGCTGTCATTCTTTCTTATGTAAATTTTTTGAGACTCTTTGTGAATCTATACTTCTGACACCAAAAGCATGGATATTATTTTGAGGTTTCTAAAGACAGAGTTGCCAATAATATCCACTATACTTTATTATATTTAGCAACAGCTCAAGATTCTCATACGTTTATTTGAGATACACGGAGTAAGCAACAGGCACCGAGGCATAAGTGTTGCCATTGTACAACAAGACGTTCTTTAGACCTCTCTTAGACGAAGTAATAAATAATTGCCATGGTGTGGAAACCTTAATTGTCACTACCTAGTTTTATGACTACTTCAGGAATATAATTACAATACACTAGTGAACCCTCTAGAAAGAAATATTTTAATAGAAATATCGTAATCCTAAGATTTGTGCAGTATCCTTTGATAGGCCCAAATCACTGATTAAGTTCAGCCTGGATAAACTACTAGGGTCGGTCTATATCAAAATTGAATTCGTTTTCATTGATTTTTTTCGTTTGAACTTTCATCTGCTCTTGGATAGTGTAAAGATAAGGTGAAGGGAATGGATATTTCTGACCCATGAGAGTCTGAATTGTATGTTTATGTTTTGAGTTGAAACCCTTGACATCGTAGGAGCAAAAGTAATAGTCGTTTTCATGGTTTTTTGGTGTCCTTCATAGAAATGTCGAAGGATAAAGAACAACGTGTACCTTTCCTGGCCATTTTCTCAATAACTCGACAAACTGCAAGCACACTTTGTGTGGAGCCCAAGGATTGTCCTGATCACCAAATTTTACACCTAAGTAAGAGTGATAAGCTTTCTTGAAAAATTCTGTTATGGTTCGTTGATGCTTTGCTGTCGGTAAATCACCACACACGTATCAAAATATATCAGGACAGTTTTTACACTTTCTTGACGATATTCATCATCATCATCATTAGCCATTTTGCGTCCACTGCTGAACATAGGCCTCCCGTAAATAATTCCATTGCATAATAATTCCTTGACGATATTATGCCTCATTAAACACAAAGAAAACACAACGATGCCACAAAGAACGGGCGCCCACTAACTATTTCGTAAACAACTGCCAATGCCGTCAAAGTGTTGCCATTTAAGTTAAATAAACCAAATATTATACTAAACTATTTTCTATCGATGTACATATTTTAAAGAAATAATTTTAATGCAACTTTCAAAATATCAATAAGTTACCTCTTTGCAAGGTTTTTTAATTTTGTGGAAAACGTGATAGCCTTACACTGTTTAGAATCAACTTACCAACATTAGCTGTAAACACCTTATCAAATTCAAAACACCAAAAATCATGTCGGCCTGTAAATTCATTTCTTCTAAAATGCCAGCTGGTGGCAGAAAACGAGTGTTTTCCAGCTACCCCAGTTCAAAATAATGTACTATTGCAAGCAACATATCACACTACAATTACTGGAAACATTACAGCAAAAACCAGCATCAAACAAAAAATAAATGCTTTTTTGTTAGCACTACAACAAAGTGTAGTTACTTTTACCAATAATTTATAGTGAACTGGTCAAACAACGGATGGGATACTTGAAGATAGGCTAATGGAATGCAGGAGGAATAAGGATAAATGCCAACATCCTGGATAAAATAGTAACCAGGCTAGATATAGGTGTCGTAACTCTGCATGAGACAAAGCTTACCAATAATGTTAACTTAGAAATTCTAGGCTACAAGGTTTATAGAAAAAACCGCATAGCAAATCAAGGTGGCAAGGTATAGCCATATTAATAAAAAAGGATATTTAACTTTAATTAGTGTCTACTTCAGGAGGCCTGGTCACCCAAGAGTCTTCTATGGTGATGGTCCAAATGAGACAACAAACAATTACATCCGTGTATGTCACACAGCAAACACTGGTACTCAAAGAATGCCCTAAATGAAAAGTTAATAAGTATCTTGATAACGGGCCAAAAATCCGTAGAGCCTACGTATTTTTCAGGAGTAGAAGATAATCACAATCCAATGATATTAGAAGTAGGAGATGGAGAAATACAAAAACATTCCATGTCTATGGGTGCACAATCCAATGCTAGGCTAATTCACAAGCCAGTTGTTTTATATATCAATCGGTTTTAAAACGTCTTGCGACGTTGTCCGATGCCTAATTTCCATGACACTTTATCATCTCGTTGGCCCTCTCTAAGATCTCTTGTTACTCTTCGTTACTCCCTCCCTCCAAGATTTCTTGGGTCTTCCTCTCTTTCTATGGTTTGGTGATACTCATTGCATAATTATTTTTGGGAGTCTTGTGTTATCCATCCTTTGGACGTGTCCGTACCATATCAGCTGTTTTCTTTCTATGTCTGTTGTTAAAGAGCCGTCAACCCCCATTCGCTGTCTTATCTCATCATTACGTATTCTTTCTCTGCATGACACTCCTACTGATCTTCTAAAAGCGTCCACTTCTACTGCCTCCAGTTTGCTTCTGTTTTTTTTCGGTTATTCGCCAAGTTTCTGCCCTGTACAATAGACTTTTTTTAATAAGAGTTTCGTAAATATTGTGTTTTCTTCTTTTTCCTATTTCATCACTCCACAGTACGCTGTTTAGACAACCTATTGTTTTCTGAATTGTGTTATTCTTCTCTTTATTTCTTTATCATCTCTCCCAGTTGTGTCAAAAACGATTCCTAGGCATGTGTAATGGTCGCAGGGCATGATGATTTCGTTATTTTCTAATGTGATGTTCGATAGTTCGGTACCTATTGGCAGGTATTTTGTTTTTTCTGTATTAATTGCTGGTCCCCACGTCCTATATTCTTCTTGTAATTTCCTTGCCATGTACTCTAGATCATCTTGATCGTTTGCTATAACAACCTGAACATCAAACTGCAATGTATACAAGCAAATCTCTCCAAGGTCTACGCCCATGCCTCTTTCCACGCATTTTCGTTTCCACTCTTTCAATGCTTTTGCAACATATATTTTAAACAAGGTCGGTGATACACAACACCCCTGACGTAGACCTTTATTAACCACGAAGCTTTGCGATAGTCTGTTTCCAATGTTTATTTGTGATGTTGACCCTTCATACAAATTTCTTAAAGTTTTTATTAAGGTGACACTAATATTCATCTGTCGCAACACGTTCCAGAGTTTGTTTACAGGAACTGTATCGTACGCCTTCTACAAGTCAATAAACATGAGGTGGGATTCTTGATTTGTGCTTAAATTTTTTTCTTTAGTTGTTTGAGACAGAAGATATTATCTGTTCTTCTTCCTCTTGGTCTTTGTATTCCTTCTCAATGCGGTCTCTAAATATTCATCCATACAAACGGCTGAATGTACTAGTGACTGATATTCCTCTATAGTTTTCACATTTAAGCTTAGCTTGTCCCTCTAGTAATTTTTCTGACAATTCTTGCTGAAAACTCTTAAAGCCAAAAGAATCGATAGACCTAGTGTTTTCGCAGTCTCTGTGTATCCTGAACATTAAAATCAAGCCAGCTTTTACCCCTTTGCTGTACGCGAGGTTACTGTCCTCATTAAGCGCGCCTTAAAACATCTGCGTTATTATTTATTAAATGTACTCACATTGAAGTGAGTGTGCCAAGCTGCTCAGTTATCAGGTCGACTTTAGTGTATCTAGCTGTAAAAACTGAAAGTTAACGAATTTGTTAATAGCAGTTGCAAAAAAATGCATCAGGCTATGTCATCAGGCATTTCCTGACTTTATTTTGCAGAAAATTTATTATCTTATCTTAAATCTATTTATTATCTTTATATCATTAAAATTCTTGAAAAAATACTTTAATATTTTTAATTATGTTTTAGTTCGTTCGCCTTCGATAATACCGGACATCCTTTCGCCAAATATGAGCAGCGCCAGAAGGGGCTCCAGGAAATCGGTCAAATTTCCTGACAGTAATCCAACGCAACACAACGGATCCCAACTTTTGGACCCGTGGTCGATAGAAGTGCGATCTCCGATGATGGTACCGCGAGGTATCGATACAGCACCATTACTGGACTCTGGTGCAACGCCAGTAACACAATCGAGTGTATAGTAGTAGTACAGTCCGTATTTGTTAATATTTTGTTAATAATAAAATTAGAAAACACACTTGAAGTTTTAATTTATACATTTTAACTATGTTGAACAATATTTACTATCATATAATTTTTTTTTATATCAAACACCTACTATGTTTATACCATTGGAATCTGGTCAACGCTTCTTCTTCTTCCTTTTAACATGCCATACACCAAAGTGCGTAGGCGACTATCTCATTACTAGAATTCTGTTCTTGGCGGCGTGACACAGCTCGCCTGTATTGTGTATTCCTGTCCATTCTTTAATATTCCTTAACCAGGACAATTGTTTGCGGCCGGCTCCTCTCCTACCTTCGATCTTCCCTTGTAGGAGTAACTGTGGTATTTCATATTTTGCTCGTCTCAATATGTGCCTAAGGTAACCAATCTTGCGTTTTATAATTAATTCAAAGAGTTATCTTTCCACGCCAGCTCTCTTAAGGACGTCATCGTTTCGAACTCTATCCACCGAAGGTATGCGCATCATTCTTCTCAATGACCACATTTCAAATGCTTCAAGTTTGTTGATAGATGTTTTTTTAAAGTCCACGTTTCCATGCCATAAAGCAAGATGGACCATATGTAGCACTTGACCATTCTGTAGCGTATTTCGAAATTTAGGTTTTGATTACATAGGAGCGTTCTAAATTTCACAAAAGCTTGTCTTGCCATTTATAATCGGGTTTTTATCTCGTGTTGTGGATCCGATTGGTCATTGATTGTGGTGCCAAGATATTTAAAAGTTTTCACGCGCTTTATACGATCGTCACCTATGCATATTATCGGGTTTTCTGGAGGGTTTCTGCTAATGACCATATATTTCGTTTTCAAAATGTTGATTTTGAGGCCATATTTTTTACCTATGCTATTCACCCTATCAAGTTATAACTACTGATCTTCCAAATTATCAGTTATAATCACTGTATCGTCCGCATAGCGTAGGTTGCTAATTGGTATGCCGTTCACCTTAATGCCTAATTCCGTGTCTTCTAATGCTTTTCGCAAATATAATTCTAATTATAAATATTTTCAACATATAAATTAAAAAGCATCGGAGAGAGTATGCAGCCTTGACGGACACCTTTCCGGATTTCAAATTCATCCGTATACTGTTCTTCATCAATCCTCACCTTTGCCATTTGGTTCCAGTATAGATTCTGAATAATTCAGATCTCCTTCTGGTCAATGTTGGCCCTATGTAGTAGTTCCATCATGATATCATGTTTAACATTATCAAATGCCTTCTCGTACTCGATGAAGGTGAGGTAGACATATTTTCGTTGATCTAAGCAGTTTTGTATTAAGGTGTTCAAACATAAAATTGCCTCTTTTGTTCCTAGTCCTCCCTTAAAACCTAATTGTGTTGACCCGCTAAGTTCTAGTATCTTGTACATTCTTGAGTGTAAAATCCTAAGGAAGAGTTTTAGCAAGTGAGTCATTAAACTGATTAAGCGGTGTTTATTGCATTTTGTGGCATTAGCTATTTTTGGGATCATCACAAAGGATGACTGCAGTCATTCGGAATGTAATCAGTATGATAAATTCTATTGAACAGCCTTACCAAGATTTCGATATTCTCCTCGTCTAGTAGTTTTACAGCTTACCAATTATTAATTCTTATCTATCTTAATTTACTAAATGATGCATTCTAAGAGCTTACCCTATGGCGTTCTCTTATGTTATCTAACAACTATGCTCTAATACCTAACATAAAAATTCACAACACAGCACTATGCTCTGCTTTTCCACTAATTACACTTTACCCTAACTCAAATGGTTTTGTTCGTTTGAGTCTTCTTTCTAACCCAGTATTATCGAGGAGATGGATGGCCTCGATGTTTACATATTTATCGAGCCGTTGTTCGTGACTACCTTCTATCTTCGTAATAATTTTATTTACATCTACCATCTTAAGGTCCTTGTGGAGGTCGACATTTCTGATGCACCAATGAGCATCAACGATGTTTTTAAATACTTTATTCTGGAATCTCTTGATGATCTTGATATTACTTTTATTAGCACAGCCCCAGAGTGAGCTGTGCCATACATCCTTACTGGTCTCAGTATTTGCTTGTATAACAGTTGTTTATTATGTGTGGACAAAACTGAATTTCTTCCCATCAGTCAATACATTTTCTTGTAACGGATAGCTAATTCCTTCCTTTTCTTTTTGATATGGGCTTTCCAGCGAAGCTTTGCATTAAGTGTGATACCCAAGTATTTTGTTTTTGTAAGATATTCATGTTTTAAGAATTAGAAGAATTTGTACTTACTAAAGGTATGATTTGGTTTATTACAGTAATTGCACTTTACCTCTGCCTTCTCTTCTGATTCTCCACTATTTTCTTTCCTTTCCCCTCGGGATTCCATTTTTTTTTTATTTTTTGAAATCTATTAACCTCCACTTTGTTACCTTGTTCCCTTAATGCTGCTTCCTTATTCAAAGCAATTTCCAAAAAATCTTGCAAACTTCTTGAAGGACTTTCTGCACAAAGCCTATCTAGTATTGGCCCTGGCCTCATGCCTACCACAAACTTATCTTGGACCCGGTATAACAATTTGTCCATAAAATCGCATTGTGCTGCCTGGTTTTTAATTTTCAGGTACCAATCATTAACTGACTCTTGTCCTTGTCTTAATAGGTCAAAAATTATCCTCCTTCGGTACACTGACTATCTAGGCTTAAAATGGGTACTTAAAAGTTTCATTAGTGTTTCAAAATCTTTCTCCTTGGGCTTCTCTGGATTACACAGGTCTCTTAAAACTTTATAAACCTCCTCACTTAGTAATGTGAGAACAGCAACCCTTCTAGATTTTTCAATTAAATTTGCACCAAAATACTGCTCTAAACGTTCCTCAAAAACTTCAAACTCGTCACCCTGTTTAAAAATGGCCAATGAAGATACACCTCCCGTATTTACTACGTTAATAATTGGTTGGTAACCCATGGCACTATCTTCATTTCTAGACATTTTGAACTATTAAAATGTTTATTTCTTTAAAATATCTGTTCAATTATTTTTCTCGTCGCCAAATAATTGTTATGTAGTAATAATAAATGGTAGATGGCTCAAATAAACATATATTTCAAAAGAACGTTTTACAAATTACAAAACAGGTGCATTACACTCAAATTGCTAATTAATTGCCATATAGAGGTTATGTCCCCCAATACATTGTGACTTGACAAATGACAGTACAAATTCTTCTTATTCTTAAAACATGAATATCTTACAGTTTTGGATTTTTTTGTTTGTAAAATTAACGTGAATTGATTTAGACTCGTTTAGTTTGATTTTCCATTTTTTTTTTTGTCCACTTATGGATTTTATCTATTGACAACTGTAATTTTTCTGCTGCTTCTTCACTGGTATCACCTACTGCTAGAATGGCAGTATCATCTGCAAAGGTGGCTATAGCATCATTTTCTAGTTCAGGTATGTCGCATATGTATAACAGGTAGAGGACCGGACCTAATACACTTCCTTGAGGGACTCTTGCTTTAATTTCTTCTAAATCTGTGTAAACGTCTTCTTGTTTGATTCTGAAGTATATATCAGATATGTATGACTGTAGAATTGATGAATATTGTCTAGGCATAAAGGATTTCAGTTTATATAGTAAACCTTCATGCCATACTTTATCGAATGCCTTAGCTACGTATAAAAATATTGTAGAGCAGACTTTCTTTTCCTCCTTTCCTTTTCTCAATTATGCTAGTAATTCTATGTACTTGATCAATAGTAGAGTGTTTATTTCTGAAGCCAAATTGGTGGTTTGGAATCAGTTTTTTCTCTTCTATTATCGGTTTCATTCTTTTTAACAAGAGTTTCTCGAACAGCTTTGACATCACTGGTAAGAGTGATATTGGCCTATAAGAAGAGACTTCTATTGGTGATTTCCCTGGTTTTGGTATCATTATTACCTCAGCTATTTTCCATAAATTTGGGACATATCTTAATCTAAAAGTAGCATTAATTAGGTTGGTCAATTGTACTATGGCTTTGCGAGGCAGGTTTTTTAGTAATTCTCCAGTTATTAGGGGCTTTCTTCAGATTTATGTTTTCTTTTATTTCATCAGCTACTTCTTTTAGGGATGTTGGTATAATCGTCTCTTTTATCTGATTAGGCTCTATCCATATTTGATCATTAATTTGGTCTTCATGTGGTTTAAATATATTTTCTAAATATGTGGCAAATCTCTCTGCCTTTTGCTTATTGCTCCTGGCCCAACTACCATCTTCCAGTTTAATGGGTGGAGAATGGATTACTGGACCCATTCAATGTTATCCCTTTCGTTGCTTTCCATAGGGAGTATTCAGTGCTGCTATCATCCGTCAGTTCTCTCAGGTAAGAACTCATTGATTCATTGTTTATATTTTGAATCTATCTTTTAAGCTTTTGAGTTGCATTGTTCAAATTCGTTTTATCTTTACGAGCTCTGGTTTGTTGCCACCGCCTTCTTAGTTTTCTTTTCTCTTTTAATTAACTTTTTAATTTCCTTCGGATAGTTGTTTCCTTTTACTTTTGATACTTGAATCGGAGTGTTTTCCCATGCTGATTTTTGTATATTTCGAACAAACAACTCTACTTCCTCATCTAGTTGTCCAGATGTTTTTAATTGACATAGTTTCTCAAAAAATACAGTGACGAAAAATTACGAAAAATAAAGTCAAGAAAATATCACTTAAATCTTAGGAGTTTTCACCACACGGCCATATCGCGTATACCTTTTATTTAAGTCAGGTGCTCTGCTTTTTATCACTCCCGAACTCTTTTCACTTGGTTCTTGCTCAAACTGGAGTCGACCAACGTTCTCTTGAGGTAACCTCTCTGGAACCGCCTTCATTCTTTTTAAGTCCAATATTTTTTGCGAAGCAAACTAAGTAGTCTTTGTGTGCCTACATGACAAGGGCGTTTGTTTCGACGAAAATCTTCCGTGTTAAGTCTCTCATTAACGCGAGTTTTTAAACTTAAAGTCCAAATTTATCGACAAACGTGTTTAGCGAGAAAATTCGTTCTGCACTAATTTCAATATAAATATTTCGGCTTTATTGATTACCTCAGCGATCAATTCACCTGTAGGTTTTTCATTTGAACATATTGCATTATATCAAAATCGTAGCACACAAGCTATCATTCTTAAAAGTTTTATGTACTAAGAAAAATCATGCAGATGCCAATCGTCAGACATCATATTCACTAGTGATGAACTGGCTTTTTCTTTTTTTTTTTGGACCGATTTCTTCTTCGTCAACTTCTGCTTTTTGTTGGGGCCAATCATTTTCTTTTCTGTACAACCATTCCGGTCTCTCCCATTATCGGGAGTCGAACAATTGCCGAACACCACAGCCTCTTGCTGGAAGATCGGCAGGATTGAAAACACCAGGTACATACTTCCAACGCTTAGGATTGGCTAAATTTCTAATCTCCTAAACTCCATTAAAAACAAAAACAGACCAGTCATTTTTACGTTAAATCTAAGAAAGAACAGTAGTGAAATCACTTTGAAAAAAAGATTCAGCATATTGAGAAAATTGTCTGTTTACTGACTGATAAAGTCTAGCATCAATAGTGGCTGCCAACAGTTCCAATCTGCTTTCTTACTAGCATCTGAAAATGTGTGCTAGCTCCAACAATCAGCTTCCATGGGTCTAGCCTGAATCCAGCTGGAATCTGAATACTCGGCAGTTCAGGAAGATGAGTAACCCAAATACAAAATTCTTCAGCCATATCATTCTCGACTGGAGTATCCCATCTCTGACACTTCTCCCAAACTTTCTGTAGCAACAATTTGAGAAATAGAGATACTGGACAGATAAAATCAACAGCGTCAAATATACTCTGAGCTATAGAAATCATCAGTCTCTTAATTATGGGACGTTTCCATTTAATTCCTTAAAAACTTTCACTACTGATTTTCAGAGTGTCTCTTGAGGAGTCCCAGAGAAGACCAAGAACAGGGACAACTGTTTTTGTATTACCAGAGGTCTCCCACAACCTTAATTCAATCTTAGCTTCCTCCATAAGGACTATTCTTATTCTATTCTATTCTATTCTATTCTATTCTATTCTATTCTATTTTATTTTATTCTATTCTATTCTATTCTATTCTATTCTATTCTATTCTATTCTATTGTATTATTCATTTAATTTGTATAAATGCATTATAAAGCGTTTTTATGAAGAACATTTGTTCGGAACATACTGTAACTGTAATCGAACCATAGAGAAATAACAATAAGAGAGTGATCAATAGATAGGGAAAATTGTTCACATTTGTTTCTGCGCAGGTAAGTAGCACATCGGGGCGCTGCTGTTTATGAAACTAAAATTTACCATGGTACAATAAAGTATTTTGATTGTACTATGAAAATTTACATTGTTGACATTGACTTTTTAGCATAGAGTTTTAGGTTATACATAATCATATTGTATGTTTATTTGTATATACAAAATTCTTTCTTTACTAAAGGTTCTTCTGTGTTTAGTTATAATTTATGGTATTTGCAATCGTCCGTATTGGACGTATTGTATGTAGGTAATATTATTAGTTTATCATTTTGCAATCTCAAATATGTCCAAACCCGGTAAAATATGTTCATGGGTGTTTAGCGTCCTTTTGTAATAACAAATATTTTTATCCTGTCACAGACCCAAATTATAAAAATAAAAAGTTGATTTTCTTTTAATATGCTTTGGTACTTCAGTCAAATAGTTAATGGTAAATTTTGGACGATTTTCACATTTGGTCCCATTGAAGATAGCCACAAGTTGGCTGTCAATTAAGTTTCACAGAACGAAATATTGCGTTGGCAGTGTTGCCATGTTTTTATAATGTATATGTTATATGCTTCAAATAAAAAGAGATAAAGCTTTTAAAAGGTACATTTTTTATCATATTATTTTATGAATTCTGCTATTTTATACCTTATATAAAATATTAATGAAGTAATATTTGTTTCGTTTGATATTAGTTGTAATAAATTATTAGAAAATTTTTTTGGCAATTGCCCTTTGATAGGTTAGCGGATAGATTTGGCAATAGAGTCATAATCCTCAAACCACCTGCTGCCAGATTGCATCAGATGCATTTTAAATTTTATTATTTATACTGACATTTTACTATTTACTGTTAAAAACTGTTTTAAAACTATTTATTTTTTCTTTTTTTCGTAATCGTTAAATATTAGTTTTTAAATATCTTATTGCTTTTAATTGCGTATGTTTCATTTGTAATGTAAATTTCAACACTGCGAAACACCAATATTTCATTCTGTCAAACCCATTTGAGGCTATCTTCAATGGGACCAAATGTGAAAATCGTCCTAAATTGGACTTATATGTTATATCGATTTGTTTATCACCTAAAAGTATTTTACTTTATTGTAAGAGTTGTTATTTTGAGAGTATTTACTTATTTTAGCTTTAGTAAAGTTCTCTGTATATTGTGTAATATTTTTCTTTGAATATTTTTAGGCTACCTACTAATCAAATTTGTAATATCTGCATTTTGTAAAATATAAGATAAATAAAGAAGAGCGGGGACATGCATGCATTTTGTGTTGATCTGTGTTTTATATCTCAAAACTTTATATTTCAAAACAATTGTTCTGTATATGTTTTTCTATTTTGTTTTATCAGCACTCCATACATGCATGCGGAAAGTGGGGGGGTCCCTGTGAGGATTAATAAAAATAAAACATGTGTAGTTTTTTTTTCCAGTGTTCATGTCCCCTATTTTTCTGAAAATTTATGAGGAAAATATCGATGGCTTAGCATCGAGAAATCCTTCTATCTCATTTTACAGATTGTTTTACAGGAGAGACTTTAAACTGAACTTTTGCATACTCTAACCTAAAAACAACAAATAAAATTTACATATTTTGATTCTGAACATATATTTAGATCGTTACACATAATTTTTCACATATATTTTAGGTAAGAGTATGGGAAATTCAGTTTAAAGTCTTTCCTGTAAAATTATCTGTAAACTGAGATTCTTTACTGAAATATAATAATTTTAAATATCCCGCGTTCCATTTTCTGGTCGTTTAGTTGAGTAAGTAGTTCATCAGGTCGCTAGCATCGAGTGTGCCAGTTTTATGTATGCAACCAAGCACTCTCTTATTTGTTATTTCTCTATGAATCGAACCAAGGTGATATTTTGGCATAAATTGGTAACACTTATTTGACAGTTGCGGTGTTGACACTTTTTGTACTTTAATATTTTCAATTTTAAAGTGAATAACATCTTGTTTTATATTTTTACCTATTTAATAAAATCTGTTATCTGTGTTTTATTTCAAAAATGTCACGTGAGAATTTTAATAGTCGTTGTAAAAAGATCGTAATACTTTTGCAATAATTATGTGACCTATTTGATTTAAAACAGATTCAGGATTTTTTTATACTTTGGCAACTATGTCAACTTCGATCTCTGTCAATGATAATGACGTGCAAAGGTAAGTAAATTAGATGGAGTATAGCTTTTTAATGCATATAAAAATTTTTAAAATGGAATGACATTAAAACGTAAGTATTTTACATAAATAATGACATGACATAAAAATTGACATTTCTTAAAGATTGACAATAATCATTAAGCTCTCCCTGCTTTTACATTTGTGATAATTAAGTATTATAGAAATAAAAATGTTAAAGAATAAATGTAAATAATAATAAATTACTAGACACCAAAAGTGACAACAAGGTACAAGTTATTATTTATATTTCACAGTTTCATTTTGTTTAGCATGAATATATTATGTTGGCGCCTTTTTATTATTAGTCAATATGTTTTATAATATACTTATGTTTAGCAGTTAAGTACTACCTAGTTTAAAAAATAATATTTATTTTCATGTGCATATTTTTAAATAATCGTCATTGTAATTATGGATTGACATAACCATGAAGTACACAGTTAAATATCCATATATCTGAAACTTAGCCATACCCAAAAAATTTGTCTCATAAAACAGGAAAAAAAAATTAGTTCACACATTGTAAGTTGTAAACATCGAGTTAGGGGTTGTAAACATATTGTTATTCAAAATTCAAATAGATTAGTATTTTTAGAGTCAAATATTACCAATAATATTGGTATAAAGTCATCTACAACTTAATTTTTGAATTAACGTTTATTTAAAAAATCACGATGCAAATTTGTATTTACCAATACCACAGAACATTCAGTCAAAATTAAAACTATGATGGTAATATTTTGCTTATGTATCAATATTGTCGTTTCAAATATCAATTTTCGTCTACCTTTTAGCAAAATAATTCAATTTTTTAAATCTATTCTTAAAGCATTATTAGAAGATTAGAACAGAACAGAAAAACGAACGCATTTTTAATTTTAAATGACAATGTCACTTATAACAGATAAAGAAAGATGGGAATATACAATCGTATTTATCCAAAAAAAGAAAGCAATACCGCCTAAAAACGTTCTCGAACTAAATAACGCACTCTAGAAGGGTATTTTGGAACTAAAACAAAATTACGCCATATTTAATCCTCGTGTGGTGAAAGTTGTCAGTAAATTGCAAAAATGTAAAGTGATAAAAATTATCAAGTTTATTTCTAATCATATATTATAGTGCAATTATGGCGAAAGACTACAATAGTAGTGGTGACCATGGTTCTCCGTATACAAATCAAGAAGATTCTGAACAGGTAATCTCAAAATGCGTTTATTGAAGCCAATTCGCGCGTTCTCATCACTATAAATAGGATGCTAAGTTTGTTGTGTCTTTATCCCTGGTTATTTTGCAAGAATACGTTGCTTTTGGTAGATATTTAAACACTTACACTACTGAAAAATGTAAATAGGGGTACAAAGTTTCCAACCTATTTTTCTACTTTTCTAGGAATAAAAAGAAGTGATATACCTATTTCTTTAAAATCACATTGTCATTTTTGTAGTTTATAACGATTAATTCATTCATTTGTATTATAAGGATCTAAAAAACAAAAATGTCTAAATATTCTATAACAATAAGGTATGGCTAGCAAACATTTTCCAAAAATATAGAAATTGTGCAGGTACATCTATAGAATGAAATAAAATCCTAACAGAAATCCAATACCTAAAAGTTGTAAACACTAAGTGTATGGAAAATACAATGTATAATTTCTTCAATGAAATCCTAGGAACTATAGTCAAGATTACAATCATTTGAGTCTCTTCTGACAATCCAGCAGTCTACAACACAAAAGGTCATACCATATCCTTAGAAGAGTATGATATGAATGACAACAGGTTCAGATAATGAACCTTTTGCTTACATATTGATGTACATGAATCACCACTCCTATAGATTAATCACTGTACAAAACATTTCAGGTAGATATTCTAAAGTTTTTAATTAATTTACATACCAAGTGACTTAGTCTTCAATAAAATTCCAATTAGTTAGATTTTATTGCTCCTTAAGCTGTATTATCAGCATACATTAAAAATGAAATATATGTAAATTAGATACCTACTATTGTTTTCTATATGACAAGCTCGTTTGGATGATTACCAAAAAGCAAAAATAGCATAAAAAATGCTACCTAATTAATAACATCTGACTATCCCATTGGCATATTCATATCATTACTGTACACAGTTCCAAAATATTTCATGTATTCCAAAAAATTGAAACATGTATAATTAGAGAATTCTAACCATTACTTTCATTTAAAACTAAAAGCACAGTTTCAAATGTTTACTGTATATATAGTAAGCATTTTTTGTTTTTAAGTATCATTTAAACCAAAGGATAAAGTTCTCAGTAATTGTAATTGTTTAAAAAAGGACAAGAAAAGTGATGAGATTATAACCTCCAATAGGGATATTGAATGACCCCAATTATTTTGCATAAGACTTTCCACATATCTTATATGGCTACCCATAAATCATCAGCATTTAAAGCATGTTCTCTGCAATATACATACATACAGGAATACAATGTCTTCACCATTTTACCCCTAACATTTTTGATGAGACCAGCACTCTTTGCAAGCTGATGTAATGTTTCATTGCTGTTGTTCTATAATTATGTTAGTGCAATGTTTGCCAAATGAGCAAGATAAGTGTCACATTGGTAAAGAAAATGATTGGCAGAATAAATGTGTAAAACAGTATAAAGTAAATCAATATCTTTGCTCATTATTAGAAGATTTAAAAAGCAGTATCTAAAAATTGTTGGTTAGGAACCTGGAAAATTGATTCCCATATAGTTTGTTCTTTATTATGTATGAAGTATTACATTTCTCTTTTAGAAACCTCAAGACTGACTAGTTCCTGATTTTCTAGAAACATTTCCATTTGGATCCCACCTATACTTACTTCAAAATACTATGTATTTGTTAATATTGAAACTTTGACCTATTTGATTAATTGACAACTATGGTGTTATATTTATCGATTTAAAAAATAACATGTGTTAAAAAAGTTATCAATGTCAATGATATAAGGTAATTTGTACTTGCTATAGATCATCTTGGAGCATGTTTTCCACAGATTCTTATGTAGCCTATAAACTCAGGTAAAGCCTATAAAAATATATGACAATTCTTAAAAACCAAAGTTTTTAACCAATATTGAAGCACTAAACTCGGTTTCATCGTACTTGGAGTGTGCCTGAAATAAGCTACTACAGAATTTTTAATATTCGTCTCTTTCTGATACACAGATGCGTAATTCAATTGTGCGAGTCACGTTTGTCATGGTAAAGTGCGATGAGAAGGGAATGAAGAGATCACTCACGTCTCCCAGTATTGTAGCAATAACACTGATGCGTTTGGCCAATACAGTGTCAGTGATAAGTTCGGCCTCTTTACGAATACAGATAGCTGCCACTGGAGGAGGTAAACGAATCGAGTTTAGACAAGGAAAGACAGATGAAACAACTTATTGCAAGTGTTTTTACACGCACACGCCAAGAAAGATGAAGATGTCTATACCAGCTATTTCTTAAGAATCACAAGTATAAATATGAATGGTGGAATAACTTAATCTTGAAACTTGCTCTGGAAACCTTGAGAAAAACGAGAGGATAAGGTACATCAAAAATGCAAAGAGGAGACTACCTCTGAAAAATTCACCAGTCTAAGATGGACAAGCAAGAAACAAAAAATGATGCAAGATTTTACTGGAGGCTTTTTTTTTAATATTGAACGAATTCTATTGATCCTTAAAATATAAGAAATTTTAATTTATGTTTATGAGAAAAGTCAATACCGTCTAAATGGGATAAGGGTGTAAAGAGACATAAGAAAGAAGAAAAAACTGACTTAGAAAAGAATCTACCCATTAGCTGGTTAAGCCATATGTACAAACTCTTCATTTATGCAAATGAAGCCACTCCTAAAGTGCAAAAATCTAAATTTGGAGATCAGACTGCATACCATTCACTGTTTTGTATTTTCAATATCATTATATGGGTCTGAGACTTATTTATTTATTTATTTATTAACGGATATACCATTTACATTTGAACAATATATAATATATAAAATTTTACAAAGTAAGCATAACATTGGAAAATAATTAGTAAGTTTAACAAAAACTAATAATTAACTTGAATACAAACTAATATCACACAAATAGCAGTCTCTTTATCACATTTTTAAATTGTTCTAAGGACAGGAAAAATAAGTCCAGATCACTTTGGTACCTATTATATAGTCTCACCATATAAGTAAGAGGCTTGAAGTATTCATAGACTTCAAGCCCATGTAGTACCCTTCAAGTATTCATGGACATTTACTATTCAGACTTGGACATTAAAAAAATGTAATTTATAAAGAATCGAGGCCTCAAACTCTGGTTATACCGCAGAGTATTAAAAATATTATGGACTGATAGAATTACAAATAAAGAAGTACTGGAGAGGGTTAAAATAAAGCTGAGCAACTATTTAGAATAGCTCGAGACAGAGACAGTTTCGCCATGTTAATTGCCAACATCAAGGGAACTTGATAGGGCACGTTAAGAAGAAGGAGAGGGTTGGTAAAGAAACAGAACTAATCACCACTATACAAACCAGAAAACTGGAATACCTAGACCACATGATGAGGGGACCAAAATATAAAATTTTGAAAGTCATAATACAGGGAAAGATTCAAGGAAGAACTGTTGGCTGAAGGCAGAACTCATGGTTAAAGAATCTATGTGATTGTATCAATGCAGATTGATTGATTGTTTAGAGCAGCAAGTTCAAAAATAAAAATAGCCATTATGATTGCCAACCTCCGTAGGGAGACAACACTCTAAGAAGAAGAAGGCAAACTCTTTACAAGAATCAAAACAATGAGATTGAATAGAAACTAAACCTGTATCAAACAAGAGAGCAAGTAGGATTTCGATCAAAGTTTGGCACCAATGTCCACCTGTATCTGATAAAACAACTTCATTGAAAAATCTTTAGAATACAACAGTGCTCTGGTATTATTATTTATAGATTTTTACAACATGTTTGACTCAGTTGAACTAATAGTATAATTGAATCATTAAATGAAAGTACCATTGATAAATGTTATTCCAGATAGGTGTGCAATATTTATAGAAATGCAACAAATGTTATAAAGTTACATGAAAACGGTAACTAAATAAAAATTCAAACAGGTGTCTGATAGGGTGGTATATTATTAGCAAAGCTTTTTACAACTGCACTAAAATGTGCTTTTAAAAACCTTGATTGGAATTATAAAGTGATAAAGGTCAACAGGGGAAAACCTGCACCACCCGATATGTTGATAAAATAGTTTTGATAGGTGATGATCTAGGTGAATGCAATACCATATTAGGACTGAAATGAGCCTGCAGAGAAATTGGTTTAAAATAAATATCCCCAAAACAAAATATTTGGCGAACCTCGTTATGAAATTAGAATGCTCAAGGACAAACAAACAGATGAGGCATCAAGAAGAATAGCACATGGATGGGCAGCAAATGGAGCTCTTAAAACCGATTTAAAGAGATAAAAACTACATATTATATAATTATAGTGCCATTGAACAAATCATAAGTTAACCCTTTTGTGTTGACTTTTTGTATTAATGAGATTTATATTCTCAGCAATGATTTTAGTTAACATGAATTTAAAAGAAACATTTTAAAATATTTTGTATATCGGATTAAAAAAAATGATGAGAATGAAACAAATTTATGTTTGGAAATATTTATTCTGCATGTCAAATATGTACAAAACCTCAATAAAATTGTGTATGTGTGTGTGCATGTGTGTGTGTGTGTGTGTGTGTGTGTTTTATTGGCACTGGTTTTAAATAAAATTAAAGTTATGTTGAAGACATTCATGAATTTTGTAAAAGGAATTTTTTATCTAATAGTTTTTTAATTATATTTTCAAATTCCTCTTCAGGCTCTGATATTCTCAGGAAGAATATTCACACATTTTATAGTACAATACCTTGGTCCATTTTGACACATTTTCAAATGCTATTCTTATATTCTGCTTGTGCCTAGTATCATAAGCATGGTGATTTTCATGACTCCTGAATGAAGTATTGATATTCTTATTCATGAAACGAACATTTCCTAGAATGTTCTGTGCTGGTACAGTAAGAATTACCAATCTTTCATAAGCCTGACGGTAGGCTTTCCTAAATCCCAAACCAGCAAGGACCCTCACTGCCTTTTTCTACAGACCAAATACTCTGTGAAT